ACGCGAAACGGTATCTTAGCTATATCTCCTAGGGCTTTGAAAAGACCAGTGGTGAGTGACTCATCAAAAATCTGCAGTAATCCGATACTCAATGCCATTATCAACAAAAGAATATGACTTCGGTTCATGATTAAAATTCTCCTAAAAATAAATTCAGTAACTGCCGTAGAAATTCCAAAGGAATCGCACGATCTCTCAATGTTCTGTGAGACTGCTTTTATTTTATGAATAACAGATTAATTTATATACCATCGGATTTCTAACCGGGAATATTTACGAGTATTGTGTAGATTAGACATATCAGAATAATAACGGATAAATTTTATGCATACATTTATCTTATGCTTGTTAAGTTGCTCATTAATGTCAACGAGTCTTATTTATTTAGTTGCTGCTCCATATATATTATCAAATAAAGGGTTCTTTTACTTTACTTTTATTTAATAAAATAATTGTTTGGGGGTACGAAGGAACAAAATATCCTATAATATAATCTACGATATAAAATGATAAGAAACGAGATCGTCCGACATATGTCGAGACTATCGAGATATTTTGTGATCGATTTCTCGTCTACTTTTCCTATTAGAGAAAATATTTGCGCGATAATCGGTAAATATATAAAAAAAACCGCGAAACCAGAACCGGAGGTTCCAGGGTAATCAGACCTTTGGCTCAGTCGGTGTTAGGAATCATATTAATATGAAATTACCTGAGACCTTTCACAAAAAATGATAGCAAAAGATTTTAAACATTTAATGAATCATCTTTATTCATCACCTGTGGCAGCTAATCAATGTTTATCAAATTCGTACATGAGGTTTACCCTTCAGATTCTCTCTCGTGATTAAAAGTGAATATTATGTAACACTGCGTAGAAGTGTGAAGTATCTCATAGCCGCGCTGAGGATCTAATGAAAAAATTTCTCAATAAAAACCTGCAGAGACGTAAATTCCGAAAAAAAAATAATACAGACCGTAGTAAGCTGTGGCATATTTAGATGAAGAAATCC